AGGTCTCTCCCACAGCGCCACTAAGGCCGATTCACCGAGCCACTGGGAGGCTTTCTTCCCAGGGCCATGGGCGAAGCAATGAGCCATAAGGCTGCCTCTCTGAAGAGCATGAGGCTCTCTTTCGCAACGCCAAGAAGGCTACCTCTCCTGAAGCTTAGCGCCTCCTTTCCTAACGGGGGTGCCGTACGACTCTCAAACAACCACCTGATAAGGCACCAACACAGGTGCCACTGAACGGCTCCAGGACGCAGAACACCATGATGCTCTGGAACACCGGAGCTCTGGAACTCGAACAGTGAGTGCCGCATAGCGAACGGACCCTTTTATTGAGACTTCCCGCCGAGTTGTTCACCTCTGGCAGAGTTGACATCCGCACGCGATCAACTCCTGACCACCTCTGTGTCGATATTACGCTCAGATCCGCTGATCTACAGCTGATCGTTTGATCTCGGATCAATCTCTGACATGTCCCACCCCCTCGTGCAGTCGATTGCCCTCATCGCGCCGCCGTTGACGCCTCGCGTGGCAATTCGACTCGTGTAGCAACTTTTATCCTTCAAGATCCATGGTTGCGCTCTGCGCAATTTTTAGACGGCAGTTTCTCCTTGCCGTTTCTTGAAACTATTTCCAACTTGTAGTTTTACTTTCTCCACTCTTGTGTCGGCTCTTCTGCGTCTCGCCATGGCCTTCTTTCCGTGCGGAGAGGGTGTGTAGACTGATGCCGTGTGCAAACCCTCCTCTGCTTTTTCGAGAAACTCCTTCACTCTTCACGGCATCCCGTTCGCCGCCTGACAGACGGTTTACTTGCGCGATGGCACGTATATGTCGCGCCACTGCGTCGTCTCGTTTTCGCTCTGATAGCCTCTTGCCATCTTCTTCTTTGTTCCAAGTAACGACACTGTGACTCCTAATTTACTAAGGGATTAGTTGCCAGTGATGATCTCGTCATTTTCTACTGGGCTAATATGCGGCCACAAGGCCGATTCCCTCCTTCGCAACTCGGCTCTAACGTATACCGCGTCCCAGTACACGTCCATATTGTCTTATTCGATGCGTCATAGATCTTGGCGTGAGGCTGAGGTTCTCTCCAGTCTCCGCGCGTCCCAATCACGTCTTTTCTCGCTGCGCTATTTGCATATATTTACGGTCACCACATATCATAGATCCTGTCTCGATTAGAGCTGCGATAACTACACCGGCAGCATTGACTCAATCTTCTTTTACGAATCGACCAACCGTACCTAACTCCTCTGCATTCCACTTTCCTTTTTGGTTTCATTCCCAAGAGCTGCGAGCTTGGTTAATGATCTCCTGACGAATGTTTTCTTCTCAACGCTATCCTGCCTCTCTAACCTGGTTCAAACTCATTCTTGAACGGCTGAGGGCAGTTCCTGCTATGTGGCCGATACCTCCGATACATTGTTAGCATTTCCTATCGTCCGGTATTCCCCCTTTGCTCGTACACATCGCTGACATTCGGCGTAGTGTGCTGTGTCTGTCTCTCAGGCTACGCTACGAATGTTTGAAGCATTTTGGTATCGCTCTGCCGCCCTCTTCTCTTTGCTGGCCGTCTCTTCCTCCTGCCGTATCCAATCGTATCGCTGGAAATCGTCGTCTCGTGCGTACTCCTAACTCACTGGCCACGCGTAATGTGTGCCACTGCTTTTCCCCGGACCCACTTGATTTTCCTACTCATCCAGACATCATTTTAGACGTGGCTCAAAGCTCTATGCATGCTAGGTTGTTTGACTCTCTATACGCCTACTGGCTCCACATCTATTGAGGAGCTCCTACCGAGTTGAAATGTTCTGGCCATCACTAGACTTGTCTACGAAGAATTTGAGACGTACTCTACACGACCGTCGTTCCTCAATCGTCAATCTGGCATTGGCCCGTCTCCCCCAATTTTCTAACACACATATCGGAATCGCTACCTCCTGACCGGTCTCATTCTGGTTTCCTGAGCCCGTGGAGCGCTCTCACCCTTCCTCGCCGTCGACTCATGCCGACAGTGAGATCTGGCCATTTCCTCTCAATGACGCACCATCTAGGCCCTGCTTGTAGCTGGTTCTGGGGGGCTGCGACCCACCCTTTTGCCGACCCCAAGACTGATCGTCTCCAAAGAAATCTCCAATGAGGGTTGCCTTCGCCATCCTATTACTTTCTCATACTCTTACCGTCTGAATCTTCTCACATAAAACTCTTCTGATGTTCTCGTTTGCGGCAACCTGTGTAACTTTCCAGGGTCGCACACACAGCCTATTGACCTCAGGGAATGTCAGTACGCCCTGAATACTGACGCCATCGCGACGTTCCGCCGGCAAGGTCGAACCCGAGCGACGGAGAACGTACCCAGGTATCGCCATACCTCTGTCCCACTGACGGCACTGTCTGCCATTGACCGGTGTTGTCTCTCGTCCACTGTACGCTTGGTTGACCCCTGCTGCCTTGTGTCCCCTCCTTCACGCTCGCCCATCTTCAAAGCGCGCAATTTCTTTCTTCACATGCACACACCGTGCCCCCAGTACCCACAAATTTCTGCCATCCCTCGGCCATCCTTGCTCCATAGTCCTTAGTATCTCTCCAATCCTTCACCCCCTCGATGCTCTGCTTTGCCTTAGGGTTTCTCCAGAATAATTCTCTTTTTCTCAGACGGAGGCAGCTTTTCCTGCTAGTTTCGCGTCTCAGAGATCTTCGATTCTTCAGTGGACTCTATGTCAAACGCCTTCGCCTATCCGGCCCTAGCCTGATCGAAGGCGCTCGCTTCCCCAAGATCTACGTTTGCTCTTTCTTGAGCCCCGCAATTTGCAGCAACCTCGAAATTCCTCCTATAAACGACCTCGATTTTTTATTTTTGTCCCATTCTACTGATGCGTAATCTCCTGGGGTACTTGCTCGTTTTCCGCCCGTCCCTGACTTCTTTTCTCCATCTTTTTGACTGACCTGAAAATTCTTTCTGTGCGGTTCTCCTTTTCCACAGCTTCCTAAGTTTCGCTCCTTTTGGCCTTTCGAGTCGATCTCCTCGAGACCAAATACCTTCTTGTTTCTTTTACGCCTTTACTGTGTCTTCGTTGGCACCCGTTTTTATCGAGTTTCTCGTCATCGTCCGCTTTTGGCTTCGGCCCCCATGTAAGGTATGGTAGTGGATGTGTGGTTTTGCGACGAGTGAGTGACCCCTAACTGTGCTCAAGACAAGTAGAAAAGTAAGGTTTATTGGTTAGTCAAAATCAACAACAACAACAACGAAAGACAAAAGTCACTGGAGGTGGATGATGTCCGAGGGCTGGGAGTCCACTGATCGGAGGTCCACAACAGGGGCACAGGGACACGGCGTAATCCGACTTCACCGTCGAGCTAGAAAGACCTTTTCTCTCGAGCCACGGAGGCTCTTCCCAACAGGCCACTAAGGCCGATTCACTGAGCCACTAAGGCTCTTCTTCCAGGCCACTGAGGCCAAGCCAATAAGCCACTAAGGCTCCTCTCTGAAGAGCCACTGAGGCTCTCTTCGCAACGCCACAAAGGCTACCTCTCCTGAGCCTAGGCCCTCCTTCTTACGGGCCGTACAGCTCTCAACCAACCACCTGATAAGGCACCACACAGGTGCCACTGGAACTGGATACAGGAACGCAGGAACACCAGAGCTCTGGAACACCGGAGCTCTGGAACTGGAACAGTGAGTGCCGCATAGGGAACCGGACCCCTTTTATTAGGACCTTCCCGCCCGAGTTGTTTCCCTCTGGCAGAGTTGACCCCCCGCGATCAACTCCTACCACCTCTTGTCGATATACCGCTCAGATCAGCTGATCTACAGCTGATCTTTTGATCGGCATATCAATCTCTGACATACCTGATATTCTGGCGAGCCACTCTCGAATTTTACGCTTCTTTCGAAACCGCCCTGGACAATTGATGAGCCTTCTTCGAAACCTCTCTTTGAGTACGCCTGCTGATCACGGCGAAGGTCCCTCCATTCGCAGCGAAATCCACCAGAATATCCAAGGATAAGCTTTTTCTCACCAGTCGAGGGGTCTAGGGGTAGGGGAGTTTTTTCACAGAGCGTTTTTTATTCTTATCTTATAGTTTTCACAAAAGCGCGGTTCAACGTCTCATGTTGTGATCTTATTTTTGAACGGGAATTCCAACCTTGCTAGTCTGTGCAGGGCATCCATGCACGAACACTTCTTCATCTTCTCTTGTGTCGCGTGCTAGCTCGATTTGATGGAACATCAAGTGGACTTTTTGTAAGAGAAATCATTTTATGCGCTAACGCGGATAGCAGTCCAAAGAAATTTTGAGACAGTACAGGCTATTTTGTGTTGTTTTTCACAAGTAACGATTGAAGATGATCCCCAATCAGTGTTGGGAGCTTAGCATCAGTATTCTGGATCTCTTTCCCAACAAACGAGGACGCACGACCGGGTTGAAGTGCGATTCCGCAAATGGAAGGTCCAGCAACATGTGGACCCACATCCCTGCTTGGTCTTCTTTAGAAAAGTGCCTGTTGTGAAGAAGAATAATGCCAGAATAATTAACAAATTAAAAATAAACATAGGTTAGAGAGTTGATGCAGAAAGTTGATCTGCCTCAGAGTGTCCACACACTTTTGATACAAAGAAAAAAATTTCCATCAAAAATTGTTTGCTAAACAAGAACGAAATCTTTTGCCCAAATTGTCATTGTAGTTTATCGATCAAGGAGTTAATGGTGAAGGATTCGTGGGCCAATACGTCTTTAGCTGACACCTGAGAATCGATTTTTGGGTGTCCACATACTTTTGGTACGCACTGTATACCAAAACTAGTGACAACTACGAACTTCACCGCAATTTGCAAACAGAATCGTCATCTCGCTTCAACTCCAGGGGTCCTACACTTTATGTCTGATTATCTCCAATTTCACATTTTTGAGTAAATGTTGGGAAGGACTCATGTCACCAGGTTTTTTTTTCGTGTTTTCCTTTGGTAGTCGCGAGAAATACTGCTACGCCAACAACTAGAAAGATGTCGAAATGGCTTAAAAAGATGATTGAACTCCAAGTGAGTTCAGAATCTTTCGTGATGTTCTACTGTTCTGTTGGGATATTCCACCTAGTTGTGGAATATAAGCATTTCGTGATCCTGCTTTTCGTTTCCTTCCACCTCTTTCGTCATAGTTTCTTCTACGTTATCTGCTCGACCTGGTGGATCAAAATTTAATGGTTCGGAAATGCCTTCATTGACTCGTTAGGCTTGTCCAGAATGTGGAAAAGTGATCGATAATAGCAAAAAAGAGATCCTGATATATTGCTTTCTACAGCGAGGAACGCTAACGATCCAGTGAGATGTATTGAATCCAATCTCAAACTTTCGCTCCAGACGGGACTAGAACCCGCACCTCTCGCTTTCCAATCACAAACGTTTAGTGTGAATGGTTTACCATCCCGGCAAAAGCGGAGCAGTGCAATGTAACAGTCTGCTGTACCCCCAATATTTCGCAAGGAGCCCTCTAAAGTTACAATTGCGGCTTCACTGCGACGCAATTTTCCTACAATTTTTCCTATGTTGTACGTAATTTAAGCGCTGGTTCACCTAGGTGAGAGGTCATCGTTGTGCAGTCCGAGGCTATGAGGGAAGGAACTTCGGGGGAATGGAAAGCCTATCTCCCCTCTTTCTGTCCCACTTAACGCTCAGATTAGTACGAGGGGAAGTGGACAAGAGTAGGAGATGTGGGTATATGGGCTTTACATAATGACGACTCCCTCACAAACCAGTGTTATTTACTGAGATGTGAAGAAACAATTGTGAGTCTAACGGTAAGTTTAATGATCATTGAAGGAGTGACTCTAGAAGGGAAGAATTTCGAGGAAAACTAAGATTACTCTCGCACGCCGGAAGCCCTGCCCCTTCTTAAATTCAGTCCTCAACGTTTATAATAATACAAATGCATTTGTGATTTTGAACACGTTGAGCACTCTGCACCGCGAATCCCTGCTCATCAGTTCAATTCATTCGAAAACAGATATTCAGACGAGGGTGTTGGAACACCTCCGAAGGTTTACCCAAAAACCTACTTAAATGAGAAAATGAAATCGCCATCTTAACAGGAACATTCCTATTCATATCGCAATATTGAAACATCGACAAGGCAGTGAAAAGCGTTTACAAAAACGGAGCAACCAAACGCTAAATAGTGAAGTACAGTTCCAGTCCCTCTTGAAACTCTTATCAGTGTCGTGTCTCTGCATACCACAACAACAAATGTGAATATCGAGAGGATTTTACACCAATTTACTTACCTGCGATACTATCCGTTTTAATGAGAGAGACAGCTCAGAGTTGTTGTCAGGTGTGCAGGACAGAATGCACCAGTACAAAATGGAATAGAAGGCATTTGAAATAACATATCCACCACATAATAGCGGTGGAAGACTGATTGGCAACCTGGCCACTGCAGCGCTGACAGCATGCTATATCCCATTCATATATCCGCGCGCGGGAAGATAATTAAAACCAACGAACCTGACGGAGATTAACGGCGATACAAGCCAGTGTTTTTAACCCCCCAGACAATTCTGCTACCAATTAACACGTTGACGACAGGCTGACGCGCATGCGCGTGAGAACTACGTCATTCATTTTTATCGTGCTTGCGCCCCTTCTTCTCAGGTTTTTTCTATTCATTCCATAGATAATACATTAGCATAACCGTGAACCACATGCCAGCCAGAGCGGTCAAATATCCTTTGATTTAGCAAAGATTTTCTGAACGCACAAAACATGCATTTCAGTTCTTCCCTAGTATTCCTTTCACTGCCCATGACATCATATGAAATATTGTAGAAGTGGTTTATACAAAACTTTGTGAGTAACATATTTGTATTTGATGGAAAAACTCAGGTAAAAATGCTTTCAACTTCAATCGCAGCGGAAGTGATGTTTTTTGCTTCTTCGGGGTCATGATGCGTTCTTCTAAACAAAAATCTACTGCTATTTATGTAGTTAACCTTTGTGCCTTCATGCTCACCGGGATTATCCTATGAGATTCAAGTTCTTGTGCATTCTAAGCAAAATATAAGCGAAGTAAGGTAAGGACGGCGCACTCGCAAAATCGTCCCTGTCCCACGCGGTGCAAAATGCCAAAACACGCGATGTCGTCAACGTGTTAACCGACCCCGGAGGGGTGGATGGCTTGATCAGCCCGAGCGACTCACGATCCAGATTTTGATCACTGGATCGCTCGCCTGGTAAGCGTGCCACTTGCCACTACGCCTTGCTGTTAGCGTAGGAGTCTCCCATTTTTTCATGAATATTCTCCGCAAGGTGGGGTCGAACGACCTCTGAGAAAATGCAGGTTTTGTCTTGCGTTACTTTCAAATTGAATGCATCGCCATACAGACATCGACGTTTACCTTCTTCAGTGAACCTAGTATTACTGAGCGGCGGTTCCCAGCACAAAGTCCCTCTCATGTTCCTACTAAATCTCGGATGGCTTGGACTTGGATTAAGTTCAGCTTCTCCTATCAGAACTCCCGAATTGCTCATGGTAGGCTAGTGTTCCTTGGAGATTGACTAGTGCACTTCAGCCAGTTCACAACCGTGATGAATACGCTGGATGATCACTGTGAGGGACTAGGAAAGCGGAAGGAGCAAGACGATGTCAGATCATGTTGGGAGCTGATTCAGGCATTTTCAAATTCTTTACGACTCCACGAGAATGCCTGAATTCAATCATCTTAACAAGTCGAATACGCTGTGACAATTTGCTGGAAGTGCTTTAGCTCCAGAGGCGATGAACCCGGCAAAGATCGTTTCACCATCATGTTGTATTTCGCAGCATTTCTCTTTCAGGGCGTTATCAAGACGGTCGAAAAAGGGTTAGTGAGTAGGTAAGAGGTAACGAGTGAGACGTTTGCTGCATAGTTCAGCACTCCGAGTGGTTCATTTGTTGCAGGATCGGTTCTGCGGTGGGCGCTTGAGGTGCATCCCAGAGAAGAGTCCACCCTTTAATTGCAGCCATTGCTGGGCGCATGCAAAGGATACTGTCCCGCCCTATAATATTTTCGTCTGTGCTCAAAGAGTGGCATCTACTGTAGATCGCGTAAAAGGCAGCACACTCCTTCGTGCCTTTCCACCTTTGTGAAGTTTTCCTGACCCTAGTAGTGATTGCAGTTCTCAACAGGCGTTCATAGTTTGGATGAACGACGGTAGAAGGAGGGCAGACAGCTCTTCAGAGCCACGATTTTTTGCGGCGCCTCTTTTCGACTTGAAGCATGCCTACTTCAGCAGCGGCCTTCTGGACAGTTCTAAGCGCATTGGGGCCCTTCGTACGTTCCAGCTATTTTTTACCAACGTTCGATATCCAACGACCAACGTAGCGTCTTCTAGGCTTTTGTCATCCGTCCACTTGCTTAGTTGCTCCACTGCACTTTTTTGGTAATGAGAGACTTTAGTGGCTCATATATGAGTTAATTCCGCTCTTTTCTGCCCTAATTCAAGCAAGAACAACAAAGCGAGTTCGTTGACATGTTGTATTCTATTGCGAAGGAACTTGAGTTATCAAAAACGGCAAGAACTTTTCTAACAATCCAATGCTATAGGAAAATAGCCACTCGCTATAGCCGGTTTACACTTGTTTCCCAATTCCTTAAAAAGGCGGTTACTGATTTACCGGACAATTGAAATTGGCTGGAGAGCGCCAGGATGTTGAACATGATACGGGAGCGAATGGACATGTTACATTATAAAGCTACTCGAGACCTTCGAGAAATTCTTGAAAGCATTTAAGCAAATCGGCAAGGGCAAAAAATTGGCGAAATGGGTACTACGTACATTTGACAAAAGGAGCGATATCCACATGGAATGAAGCGCTAAAGAACAAAAGAGGAACCGAAAAAGAGGGAAATAATGATATATGGAACGAAGGGCAGGTGGGTCTCTAAAAGGCTTCTTGTGCGGACGGATGCGCGTTTTCTGCAGCGGAAAAAGTGGGAATGAGGGAACGGGGCAGAAGAAGAAGTTCCTTTTTTCACGGTTCTGCGGCCGTCTTTCTAATGAGTTTTTCTATCAGCTGCGTCGCTTGTCACAATCTATTTTATCTCTAAAGCAAGTGGCTTCCACGCTGAATTGGTACTTCGCGTTATCACGGATAAGGTTGAGAATAGATTCTGTGTAACGACGAACGAGCCGCTTACCCCCTAGAAGATACGATTCATAAAGGGGAGCGAGATGTGCGGGACTGCTATGATTAGTACATTTCTTGAGAATGTTAAATCGAGACAGATACCGCTAACTAAATTATATAAGTCTTAGCAGGTCCTTGCAAGCCCTTTCCATCATCGGAATAGTTTAGCTTTGCTATACGTGTTATTTAACATTTGGAAGGACCCCTATCCACCAGTAGAAGCGTTTCTTATGCGTCACTAGGAGTGAGAATTTATCGATGCCACTTTTTTAATTTATAGGACGTCTTCTTCAGCGTATGAATTCAGACCTTACCTCGCGGTAAATGGTGGCAAATTGTACGCCTGCGTTATTTACTCGAACACAATGAGCTCGACAATATTAACGCTGGGGATGAGAACTGAGATCTATACTTAAAGGTCGCAAGCCGTGGTCAAATAAGTTGTAGGAACAGGAGGCGCAGTAGGCGTTAGTTTCTGAGAGGGTTACGTTTCCGAAACCCCGAAGTGTATTAGAGCAAGCGAAGCAGTCCACTGGTGAACTTCTTTGCCTAGGCTGTGGACGGACATTTTTATAGTGACGAAAAAAAAACGCAAAAAAACCGTCAGTGGCAAATAGGTCGCGCCGCGCCAGCCGCCGTAGACCGCGTATTGACTTTGGAGGGAATTCGCAAATAGACGTAGAATCCAACATTTGGATGCTAGATTTAGATGAGTATTCGAGTTCATGAAACATGGGATTTCACTAACCCTTGAGATGCAGTTTCTATCGCCCTTGCAAATTATTACAAACTTAGCCTAAATCGATAGCTAATGTTAGATGATAAGCAAACCAGCCCTTTTGGCGCTTCGGCTGGGACGATATGAGAATGTTGGGAC